GTTAGAGGGTTGACATGTTGTGGGGTTGTTAACCAATGTCATAAAACAATATGTGTACTACTGTTTCATGAGAAACTTTGTTCTGTAAGCCTTCACCTGAAGTACAATTTAAAAAAAAAAAAAAAAAAAAAAAGTGATTGGAATGGGAGTCCCACTTGGATTTCCAACTCTCTCCCCAGGCAGTGATCAACACCATGTGTGGCCAAGGTATGCAGGCCCTTGGCTACTCAGAAGCTAGTAAAGTCATCTACACCAATGGCTGTATTGACAAACTGGTCAACTGGATACACAGCAACCTCTTCTTACTTGGCGGTATGGCACTGGGCCTGGCTATCCCCCAGGTAATTTACCCTGTAAGACTTGTGGGCCCCACAAACTCCGCAAAGACTCCTTTATTTTTGAGAGGGCACCTGGGGATCAGTTGGGTGTCAAGGCGTTGACGTTGCTGAGGGGCAGAGGACAGGAGAGAGGAGAAAGGCAGAGGGTGGGGGAATGGTGTGGACAGTGCTGAGTCAGGGAAGCAAAGACATTGCTGCTGTGGCCCAGTTCCTCCTTGCCTCTCACAGCTGGTGGGAATCCTGCTGTCCCAGATTCTGGTGAATCAGATCAAAGACCAGATCAAGCTTCAGCTCTACAACCAGCAGCACCAGGCTGACCCATGGTACTGAGCATCCACCTCACCATGGCAACAGGCGAGCCTAGTCCACCCATAGCAGCGGGCACAGCTCTCGGCACCAAGTGGAGATTTGGATCCCAGCCCCCAGCGACAGCCCTGTGGGAAGAAGTAAGCTTCAGGAGGGCAGAAGGCAGGGTGCACGGCTACCTGAGTCTCAGAATGATGTGCCCTCTGACCCCTATCCTAGCCCATAGCATTGCTAGGGAGCTATTTGTCTTGCTTCTAATCTTAAGCGTTTGGGTTTATGTTTTTTTTAAGTTTTGTTTGTGTAACAGCAGGTACACAGAGAGTTATGAGGGTACTAGCTGCTTTCTCACGGAGGCATTGCAACCAACAGCTGTACTAGGGCTGCTGCTGAGCCTGGTGGACATACTCAGATTCCGACTGTTGTCAGTGAGTCCTGGCTGTGCAGAGTAGACACCAGCAGCCCCTGCCTAAAGTCGTTGGCCCAAAACCAACTCCAGAAAGGAAGGAGGTGGAGTGGGCAGTGAGCTTGGGGGTTGGCTGGGGACAGTTATACGTGTTGGGTCAAGTGGAAGGGGATATGTTTACCAAATGCCTGCTCTGCCATCCCCCAGGTAGTCAGCGTGAGCTACACCCTGCCCCTCCCTCATTTCCATGGAAATATGGCAGCAAGGCCAAGGGGTGCAACAGTGGCCAAATTCAGCTCCCTCTCCCCTTTTGAAAAAAGTCTGGAACCAGGGTCCCTGTTCTTTGCAGCCAGCAGAAGTAGGACTGAGCCATACATGCCCTTGAATTCCTCCCCTGTCTGGCCCTCTCTCCCCACCAAGTGGAGTTTTCTTTGACCTTAGCAGTGTGCAGAGGAGGGGAGGCGGCACCACCACTCCCAACATTCCCCTGCACTGGAGCTCAGTATTTCTACACTGTAAGCAACAGGAATCTTGCTGGGGCTGGGGGAGCCAGAAACAGCAATAAAAGTTTGTTGACCTGAGCTAAGCTGGACTCCATGAATTTTCCATTGTGGCACCTAGAAGGGAAGGGTAGAAGAAATCGGTGAGCCCTCCCTCCAGGCCACAGAACCCGGACCCCACCACCCACCCTGCCTCCCTCAGAACTAGGTACACTGCCCTTCTGCCCCCCACAACCCGGCCCTTTCCTGTCTAAAACAGGTCAGATATTATCCCCAAAGTCATGTTAATTTTTAAAATTTTTCAATTAAAGTAAAATTAATCTGCCACCCAAAGCTTTTAGGACGGGGGTGGTGGTAGTGGTGTTAGCTGCCTTCCGTTTGATTCTAACTCACAGCGACCCCATGTGACAGAGTGGAATTGCCCCAGAAGGTTTACTTGACTGTAAAGATCTCTCTGGAAGTTGGGAGCTCACACCTTCCGTTGGGGGGCCATCTCTTCACCCCAGGCTGGGTCCTCTCGTCCCTTCCTCCCAGGTCGTTAGCTGAAGGAGCTGAGCACCACGGCCCAGCTGGTGTTAGAGAAGACTCACAGCAAACGTCACCAGCTGCGCAGGCCCAGCGGAGGGGCGGGGCGGGGACCACCCAGGGCGCCAGCGGGCCCCCGCCCCGCCTCCTCCCTTGAGAAGGGGGGAGTGGGCCTGTGACTGCACCACCTCGGGAGGCTGTACCCGAGGTCGTCCTTGCCGCCCCTTGCTGCCTGGGTCTCAGACTAGGGGTTTGGCCTAGGCAGGGAAACCCGAGAGAGTCCCCACAGTGCTGGGGAGACAAAGAATCGCAAGTTGCTCCCTGCCCCCGGTTTTCCTAGCCCAGCCCCCCTGTTCCTGGGAGGGCGCCTTTCCAGCAGCTGTCTGGGGCCCCCGCCAAGGTTTAGCGCCCAGTTAGTAACAGAACGGAAAGAAAAAATAAAATCATCACACATATTTTTTTTTAAGTATACTTTTTATTTAAAAGATGGGAGAGAGGGGTAAAAAAGCGCACTTTCTTAGTGACGTCCTTCTTGCTTGGTGCCAGAGACGTGTGTTTTATACTTTTCCTTCCCTCAGTGGGAGCCCTGGTGGAGCAGTGGTTAAGCATTCTGCTGCTAACCAAAAGGTCAGCAGTTCAAATCCACCAGCCGCTCCTTGGAAACCCTATCGGGCAGTTCTACTGTGCCCTGTAGGGTTGCTGTGAGTTGGAATCAACTCCATGGCCCAGAAGCCGTAGGGGAGGGGGCGGTTCTGCACCCTCCCCAATCACCAGCTTGGAGACGCTCACACGCGTCTGGGGCCTCTTGGAGGAAGTAAGAGACACTAGGAACGTGGTTGGCATAGTCAGGATTCAAACCTGGATTTCTCAGACTGCAAACCATGCTTTTACCACGGTCTCCACTGTCTCACAGTCTCTAGCTTGGACAAAAGGGTCTGGAATTTTCTGCCCAAGCCCCAGGCCTTAAAATGTGCTAAGCAAGTGTTCTGAAGCTTGTACACTTTCGAGTCTATTCTGACTCATAGCGACCCTATAGGACAAAGTAGAGCTGCCCCATAGGGTTTCCAATCTTTAGGGAAGCAGACTGCCACTTCTTCCTCCAAAAGAGCAAGCAGCAGCTGATGGGTTTGAACCTTCAGCCTTTGGGCTCGCAGGCGAGTGCTTAACCACTGCGTCACCAGGGATCCTTTCTGAAGCTTATAGTGCAGGCTCAGTGTTCCTAGACTTCAGTTTGGTTCTCTCTCTTTATTTCTCTCTCAATCTCTCTCTCATACACACATGCCAAAGAAGTTTGGCTGATGCTGGGAGAGAAAATACCCCCAATCTTTAAAATATTCTCATTGTTATTTCATGTTTCAACTTAACTTGCTCCCTGAATTTCTCTATTTCTAGTAACCATAGTTCCGAGCATATGGGGTTTCACACCAGTACTTTAGAACAGCTGATCAAATCTAGGGAGTCCTTGGGTGGCACAAACGGTTAAGTGCTCAACTACTACCAAAAGATTGGAGGTTCAGACCTACCCAGAGGCACCTCAGAAGGCAGTTCTGGTGATTGGCTTCTGAAAGGTCATGGCCTTGAAAACACTATGGAGCACAGTTCCACTCTGCACACGTGGGATCACCATGATCAGAGCTGACTAGAGGGCAAACTGTAGGTGAGTGAATGGAAGGAGATTCTTGGGGATAGCAGAAATCAGGCAGGGTGGGCTGGGGCCAAGACAAGAGGCCGGTAGACTGGATGAGAACCTGCCTGGGAGCGGGGGCATGAGAAGATAGGTGCCACTTGGTTCTGTCTACCTCAGACCCTACAATGTGAGTCCAAGAGTACAAATTTTGCACAGGGTTCAATGAAATTCTGATTCCACCTACATTAGTTTCCTATTGCTGCTATAACAAATGACCACAGACTTAGTGACTTAAAATAATACAAATTCATTATCTTACAGTTCTGGAGGTCAGAAGTTCAAAATGGGTTGTACTGGGCCGATTTCCTTTCTGGAAGCTCTGAGGGAGAATCTGTTTCCTTGCCTTTTCCAGCTTCTTGAGTTCACCTGCATTCCTTGGTTGGTGGCCCCCTTCCTCCATCTTCAGAGTGCATCACTTCGACCTTTGCTTCCATTGTCACATCTCCTTTCTCTCTGACCGACTCTCCTGCCTCCGTCTTACAAAGACCCTTGCGATTATATTGGATCTATCCAGATAATCTAGGTTAATCTTCCCATCTCAGAGTCCTTAATTGAGTCACATCTGCAAAGTCTCTTTTACTTTCTAAGGCAACATATACACAGGTCCCAGGAATTGGGAGAACATGGACATCTTTGTGGGGGGCATTATTCAGCCCACTGTATCCTCCCCTTTCCAGTCTCACTTTGATTTAAGGGGGTGGGATATAGGGATGAGCTAATGTTGGATATTGGCAAGAGTTTGAGGTAAGTGTTCTCTGGCCTTCATTCCAATAATCACCTAACACTTACTGAGTGCTTACTGTGTGCCAGACACATATTATGATGTAATTTAATATGCAGATCCTTTGCTGATTTCTGAAGGCCAGGTATGTTCACAGGGTCAGGGACCAGTTTCAAAAAGGGGAACTGCACAGCTTCTTCCATCAAAAGGCTTCTTCTGGTCCATCGCTCTAAAAAAGTCAGGAACATTTTGTAAGTCCTCCCCTCGCCCAAATAATTTGAGAGTAATTAGATATTCTAAACTGCCATTGATAATGGAGGGAATAAAGGGGAAGGTAACCAGGTCTAGAACTCAGGTTGGAAGTTAAGCCTCCAGAGTTTTCTTGCTACCATGCCAGGAACCTGGTAAATCAATCAGATGAATGGAATAGCATAGAGATTCCAGAAATATTTTCAAACATTATCCATACTCACTGTCAAACAAAAAGCAGCACAGTGACAGGAGGAAGGGGTAATCAATAATAAAAGTTATCAGGACAAATGGATTGCAATACGGAAAATTAGTAACCTAGATTTGTATCTCATATCATATATACTGTAATGAATTCCAGAAGAGTAAAAGGGTTAAATATTTAAAAGCAAAACAACAAAGCTAAAAACAGAGTATCATATTTGTCTTAGCTATGGGGAGCTAGAGTGGACACCTTTCCAGTGCATCTGCCCAGCTCACAAGTCTTTCTTTTGTGGAAGCTAGTTCCCATCCCCCCACCCCCAGCCACAGGAGTGAGTCTGGGGGAGCCATATTTGTACTAGAAGATCTGGTCCCTTGGACATAACTGATTGGGTTAGGCTGGGGCACCTGAACTAAACTATGCCAGAGTTCCTTCCCTGGGACTTTGGAATTGAGAATGAGATTCTAGTCACAGCCTAGGCTGGTCTCATGAAGAAAAAGAAGGCAAAGGGGACCTGTGGCTCAGCCCTCTTACACCCTATTGACTAAGTAACAGAGAATGTCTGTTTACAAAAAAAGAAGAATGAAAATGATTGGGGGTAGGGACAGGGAGGCTTAGATAAAAGGGGCAGAGGAAGGAGACTTGCTGGGTTTCTGGAGGCAGTTTTCCAGGTGTGGTCCTAGAACCCTTCTGCAGCTCCATTGCTTTTCTGTCTGGGACGCTCTGTATGCTTATAGTTGTTATTAGGTGCCAGCAAGTCTATTTCGACTCATAGTGACCCCATATGTTAGTAGAACTACCCCACAGGGTTTTCTAGGCTGTAATCTTTACAGGAGCAGATTGCCAGGTCTTTCTCCCACAGAGTCGCTGGGTCGGTTTGAACTGCCAACTTTTTGGTTAGCAGCCAAGTGCTTAACCATTGTGCCACCAGGGCACCTTATGCTTTCAGTAAAGCCTACTTTATTTGCTTAAGGAAGCTCAACTTGGTCTCTGTTACCTACAAACAAAGCTAACAAAAAAGCTATAATCAGAGTAAGATGTATTAGTTTTCTGTTGTTGCTGTAACAAAAAAATTACCACAAACTTAGTGCTTAAAACTACATTTGTTGTCTTACAGTTCTGGAGGTCAGAAGTCTGATACGGGTCTCACTGGGCTAAAATCAAGGTGCATGTGGCAGGGATGTCTTCCTTCCTGGAGATTCCAGAGGATAGTCCATTTCCTTGCCTTTCCAGCTTCTTAAGGCCACTGCATTCCTTGGTTGGTGGTTCCCTTCCTCCATGTTCAAAGCCAGCAACGGCAGGTCGAGTCCTTCTCATGCAGTCATCTCTGTGGTTCTCTGCAGCAGGGCAAGTTTCTCCTCTTTTAAGGACTCACATGATTAGATTGGGCCCACCTGAATAATCCAGGATAATCTCCTCATCTAAAAGTCCTTGTCTTAGTTATCTAGTGCTGCAATGACAGAAATACCACAAGTGGATGGCTTCAACAAACAAAAGTTTATTCCTTCACAGTCTAGTAGACTACAAGTCCAAATTCAGGACATCATCCCCAGGGGAAGGCTTTCTCTCTCTGTTGGCTCCGGAGGAAGGTCCTTTTCATCAATCTTCCCCTAATCTAGGAGCTTCTCAGTGCAGGGACCCTGGTTCCAAAGAATGCACTATTCTCCTGGCTCTTGTTTCTTGGTGGTATGAGGTCCCCTGTCTCTCTGCTGGCTTCTCTTTTATGTCTCAAAAGACATTGGCT